AGCTATCTGGCAGTAGTACAACATCCACAGTGCCTAATTGCTTAGGTTATCCTCTCTGAGGTAACTAAAGCCTCCCACACAGTATCTCTCCTTTACAGAGCAGGAGCTATTCTTGTGCTGCAGTTGCTAACGCTTTTGAAAACTAACAGTTCACCAGAGGCTGGGGTCTGCTTACTTCTGATCCAAAGCACATCCTAGGTACTGCGTGAGGATGAGATATTCGCTAAATCCCAGTTCCAAATTTCAATAAACTGCTGCACCACTCGGTCTAGCTGCCCTCTTTCTAACACTGAACACAAAGCTCCCATGTCTTACACAGTCCTTTTCCCAGGGACCATCTGATCAGCCCATAGACACCTAGCAGCTACTGCATATTATGCCTTTTAATTTAATATTTTTTCAGTCAAAATTAAGACACTGGCAAGGAAGAAATTCACTCACATATCCTTGTTTCAGAGACCTTCTTCTGTTGCTGTACTAACCTGATTTCTATTACCCTAATTCCAGTAGAAATTTTCCCAATATAAGCTCACTACTGTGTTTTCACTGAAGACACTTGTGGAGGCAGATTACAGGTCATTTTGGAGAAAGAAATTTTTCCTTCATAGTTTTGCACTGGAAAACTGCTGGTTAAGAGTTTAGGAAAAAAAAAAAAAGGCTCACTTTTGCAGGTAAAAATATCCAGATTAAAGGATTAATGTGAAAAAAATGAGGTCTAAACTTTCAGTAATAAGAAAATACTGCTACAAAGTGGCAATTTCTATTGTCTGAGGTGTTCTCATACATTTTTCCTAAGAAATTATATGTGGCTGTTCTTGTCATGACAGGAACTTATAATACTGGCATTTAACTGGAATTTTATGGAATTTTACTTGTGTATTCTGGACTTTTTAAAACTATGTTAAAACCTGATAAAAATATTGTCCTATCCTTTCTATATCTTTATGATTTAAAGTATTTCTTAGTTTATTTTGTTTGGGTTGGTTTGGGTTTTTAAAAGCTTTGAATCCCTTGTAGTATTCACAATAAATTCAGCTTGATTTTAATGCTTCTGCAGTGACTACTGCAAAGCTTCTTAACTTTTACACTATAATGCAGTCAATGTATTTATAGTTCTTGAAAATGTCACATGGCAATGTTATGCCAGGGACAGCACATCTCAGAGCCTCCTTAATATGTCTGCATTGTTGTATTCTATTTGTAGAGGCAGTTTTGTCAGTGGCAATGAAGAAACAGAGCTGCTGCTGCAGCTCCTTCAATAACACTCAAGCTTATAGTTGACCCGAGGGGCTCACATTATGACATCCATATTTAATTTAACAATAAATCATATTTTCATGGACTACAGTATTGCATTATAATCTCACTGTTTTATGTGCATGGGAATGCAGCAAAAGCAGGCTTGTACGTATCTACAACACAGACTAAATGGTTAGTTCATGAGAGCAAGGTCAAAGTGTACAGTGATGACAGTATATGAAAGGTTTTATAACAATTCTAAGAAGTCTGAGGGAAAAAGAATACAAAAAGCTATCCAGAAGGGACCACATTTAACTTAAAGTTCAATTTTTTAAAATCTTCCTTAACTGCACCACCTTGCTCACTGTCAGTTTTAGTTCTGCTCTGCACTTCCCATTGCAGTCAGCATTCTCTGTATCTCATTTTCTCTTCTGCTTCATTCAAGCATATTTAAGGAGAAAATTCACACCATCTGAATCTTAAGCTTTACCCATCCTTTTCTGCTCACAATCATTTCTCCTATTTGCCCTGCATCCTTTACTGCTGACCTTCTAGCTGACTCCAAATTAAATGTTCATATGTTTCCTATTTACTTCCAAATCTAGTCCTGCTTGTTCACATTTATTCTTGCTCATCTCTCTCTTATTTGCCTCTGCTCATATCACATCACATCATCCTCAACTTCTTTACTTTCTATTTCTACTAACTTCCAGTGCTACTTCTTGCAGCCCTCTGCAACCTAAAACTTATTTAATTCCTTCTTCCCTCCCCATCAGCATTATTAATAATCTTCTACCAGCCAGACTATGAAATACCTTCATTGCTTTTCTCCATCAGCTGCCTCTGGCAATAGTTTACCCGTATTTGCACCGCTCTCCTTCATTGACTTTATGAAACTACATTATCTCTTTTAGAAGATTCCACTTTTCAAAACTAAATACTTTCAACTACTTTTTTTTTTTGGCAGCATTGATCTTTGGTCTAGATGTCATCCTTAAAATAAATTACATAAAATTAAGGAAGAGCAACTGTAGAAAAAAACCATTTGACTACTCTGACCTATGTCCTCTCTTTACCTCTCATCCAGCTTTTTGCTCATCATCTCTTCATGCATTGTATCTAAATTAGATTTTCAGTTCCTTGGGGTAAGAAGACATCACTTTCACTTATCTGTGAAGCACCATGCATGCTTATATCTCTGTAGAGGAGCTAAATATGTATATCCACATTTATTAAAACATTGGTGCTTTTATCTATTCATATATTACAGAAGCAACATGGCAGCAGTTGTACCCATCTATAATAGCAATGATGTGATTTATAGTAGCTGCATGAGTTTTGCTCTCTGTTTCCTACTTTGTATTTATATTGCTCTTTCTGGTCTTGCTAACTAACTAAAAAACAAAATCTCAGTTTTCTGTGACAGCATAGGGGTAACATACAGAAGTTTTACTACTTATCCGTATCACAGTCTTAGGTGAAGGATGATGTACCAACTCAGGACTGCTCTTGCCCTCCAATATCTTGCAATTTAAATAGTCCTGATGACAATAAAAACATTAGAAATTTTGAACATGTAGCTTGACAGCTGTTGTAGCATCTGATTTTCAGGCTAGTAGAGCATAGCTCTTTCTAAAATGCAAGATCTTGAAAAGGGAAGATCCCTATTATTTTGAAAATTTTGGCTGTCAAAACTAACATAATTAGTGTAAAAATGTATCCTAAAAGCTAGGAAGGTTTTTAATGAAAAAAAAGAAGATAAAATGGGGATACTATCAATCCAATACAACATACTACAATATTTCTATTAACAAGTGCAGTAACAAACAGTAGATATACTCTCCTTTGTAGTGAAATGTATTTATTTCTTAGTTAGTCAAAAAAAAAATAAGTAGACATATCCAAATCCCTCAACAGAATCCCTGAAATCCCCTGTCATAACTCAGAGCCTGTTGCATGAATGAACCAGCACTAATAATTTCAAAAGTTAGCTCAAAAGATAAGGACTTACTGTAGAGTAGACATTGAATGCAAAGCAATTAAACTGTTCTGCTTCATGTAACACTTAATAAATGGTTAAGCATTTAGGCACTGAATAGAGTGAACATCTTTGGGTATCCTGCTTTGCATCAATCTGAGCTGAAAACTTGAAATGAGTTGCTCATTCCTGGGTCAGTACATACAGAGTGGCCTTGACAACAGAATAGCAGGGAAGAAGTTATATGGGGATAATGTTACTGAAATTTCTTCATAAAGTGCCTTACAGCTGATGGACTTAATAGCTATATTATCTTTGCATAGAGGGACCTGTTTCAGCCAGCATTCCACCATGTTTTCTCAGTGAATAAAATGATAAAGATCAATCCAACTAATTTTGAACTGCATGTATAACTAAACTTGTGTAAAATTGCACTAGTAACAGTCAGACCACATACATGTTTAAAAGCTTTGTTGGACTGAACAAATAGTAAAGCTTAATTTTACTCAACTCTTGATCTCCCAATAAGCATCTACCTCCAAGCTAGTCCCCTTCATTCCTTGCTATGCATAAAGAGAACAGAGTCAACAAATTCATCGAAGTGGGCTTCATCAGAACTACCCTAAATGTTTACCTCAGGATAAGCCATTGTACACTCTAAAACACTGTAAAAAAACCTAGGTTTGGTAAATGAATTTCATTTCATCAACTACTGAGAATCCAGTGTTTGTTCATTTCTTTACGTCTTCAAAGAAAGTCCAGATATCTTGCCCACAAAATTATAAGAAAAACTCCTTGATAAAACTGCTAATGACAACTATTAATCTCCAGACATGGGGCCAGATATGGTACAGCCTCAGAAGTGCACTCCTAAGACAACTGGTAGCTGGCCCATTTGCTTCAGATACAAACAGGCCCTACCAGTTGGTTTCAGTGTCAGAAAACAGTCCTTTGCATCTTCTACTTAGTTGTAGAAAAAAATATAATTGGCATGGATGACAAGTGTAAATTGCAACTTTAAACATAAAGGAAGATAGAAAGGTAGCTTTTAAGTGAACATTTTAACAAAAAAGTAAGGATAAAATAAAGAATATAAGTAGCAAAAGTAAAAGAAAAAAAGCATGACAATGGAAAAATGGCTACAAAAAAACTATTGAACTATGATATGACATTCATGATTGTGATCACTTCGGACAAATACAACAGGGATGCTGTTATCTAAATGAACAGGCATCTTAAAGTACATTTCCTTGGATATATAGTGAGAAGATCTACTTTCTGTAAATTACCTTAGAGAATACTACCAATGGAAGGAAGGTAAGGAAGGAATTTCTAGAAGATTAGAAAATGGACCAATATAAAAAGGTAAAGCATAAAACCAGAGCTTTACCAATGTTGACCACACTGACATAAAGGCAGAAGATGAGTTATAATGACTTAATGGCCCTGTACAGAAACAATTTGTTACACAGACCTCACTGTGTGTAGGAGGTTGTATTGTGTAAGGATATTATAAGATGCAGGTTAGGTTTTTAGATACCCACAATTTTACATCCTTCACAATGAGAAGCATGAATGATAAGCACTTCTGAATGTGGTTGCTTTGCTCAATGAAGAACTTGACCTTACAAAACTGAGTTTAGAAATTATGTATATGTGGAGCACCTTTTCATTTGTTTCTACACGAAGACAGGGGGGACAGGATTAAAACTATTTGCTTTCCTTTCAGCTAAACATTTTTTCCAATCATATCACTTTACTCTGATTTACATACGTTTTAGCTTCAAGAATCATTGGTCATTGCTGAATAAAAATAAGCACAAAGTAAAATTATATTAACTTTGCGCAGTTAATCTTTCATAATTTTAAATGTCACCTTTTAAAATTTCCTGTAAAATCAGCCTGAAGTACTCCCATCGTTGACTGTTATCAAGTAGAGCAGGGTCACTTTGGGAAAATCCATTCTCAGTGATGTAAATTATAGGGTTATTATATGTATCCTAGAACAAGAGAGCAGAAGTTTTATTCAGAACAGATGTAAGAAAGCCCATAAAATCAGATGCATTACCCTCTATCTTTTCTAAGCTACAAACTAAAACTAGTTTTCACCAAATTGCACTGACCCTATTAACTTAATTTTCCATGAACTGACCTTTTATGACTAACAATGGAAAAGCAAAACTGTGCAAATATCCATGAAGACAGTGAAATGACTTATTTTAATGAGAAGACTAAAATATCTTTTCTACATTAGCATCTGCTTATTGTCACTGCTCCTTAACCCCTTGGTACTGGCAGTCACCACACGTCCCATTGCCAGGAGTAGATGCATGCCAGGAAAGCCTTACTGCTGGCACCAGAAAGATCATTTCTGTAGTTCAAAAGATGACATAACAGTGGTGTGTCATTTCAAATGGTACAACTGCTATCGAGTAAAAAGGCAACAGGAAAACCCTAAGGTTCCTACTCTTTATAGGCAACATGCAAAAATTAAATTATGAATCCCAAGGTGACTTGTTTATTTATATCTTATACAATGTCTTTTGCCATTGAGATGGGCTCCTCAGAAATCTTCAACAGAATTCATACAGAATTCTGAGTTCAGAGCTATAGTAACAAATCTATAGTCTTTTCTCCAAATACCTTACCACAACTGCACCAGGGTTTAGCATGAGATTTTTATACTTTATAATCTGCCTTATAAGCTCTGGTACCAATACTGGGGCTATACCTTTTCCACAATGACCTATAGCAACAACATAAGGCCCATTAGTAATGATCACTCAGTCTCCAAATGTTCTGAAGCAATAATTAACACGAATATGGATGGCTGCAATGAGCTTTCCAGATCTCCAGTCTCCTCTGTTTTCTAAGGATAGAGGTAAGTCAAAGTGATACAGGAAGCAGGATGCCATTTCCCAGGTTATTAATAGGTTTGCATTAATAATTGACTCCTGAAAATATTAAAGGAAACAAAAAAGGGTTAATAGTAACTTTATTACATTTTATCATTTAAAGAAACCTCACTGCATATTTTCTCTGTTATAAGATGCAAATATTCCCTCTCAACTGCATGCTGACTGCAGTTACAAGACCCCAGAGTTGGCAAAAATGCTCTGCACACAAAATCTTCCAACCAGGCACATAAAATGAAATGAGGATGCAAATTTTCAAAATAGATCAGTGGACAGCAACTCCCCAAGAGAAACGTAATTCTGATGGGTGCTGGTCACATGAAAATATAATCCTTTCGTTTAAATGCCTGAATGGCAGCCTGACTGCATGTGCAAGATACAAGAGTGTTAGAAAAAGCCTGATGCTTGAGTGCATTACAGGTAGGCAGATTTGTTCTAATGAAAACATTTCTCTCCTTGAGAACTGTGTCTTTTAAAGAGTTTAATGCCACACTGAGCAAGGTAGCTAAGCTGATCTTTTACAATTTGAACTTGGTTAGCTGGATTAGCTGTTTTCTCTAGAATATTCTATTCTCCATCACCGTACCAGCATTAAGACAAAGATACAGTCACGTATTCAACGTTTTGCAGTGGTGTGAATTCAAAAGTTCCCTCATTAGATCTATATGATAATTAAAGCTTTTCATTGTGTTCTACTAGATTTTAGATGGAGTTTCAGGCACTGGTTTCTTTAGCCATCAACTGGAATGGCTTGGCAATAGTTTATCAGAGAAATCATCTCTCATCCTTTTACACTGCCACTGCTGCAGACTGCTCAGTCCCTCTAACTGCAAGAAGGAATTAGCTCACCTCTCTGAAAGCTCATGACTTCCAACCTTTCTTGTCCCCTCTTGCTAAGACAGAGATCAACTTTAATTTCCTGGATGTGTCGTTAAAGCTAGCCAGCACTGGGGATGTATTTCTAGAGGCTTAAAAGGAATTCACCTTCTGTTCAGATTTAGCAGTGCCTGACATGAATATGTTTCCTAAAGGACTATTTTTATGCTGCTAAGAGGTCACTGTAAGTTTAAATATCAGGATACTTTAAGCCCTCAAATAGGCATTTTTGATTTTGCTTACATCCCAACACAACTGTATTGCTTTTAAGCCTTTTGAAAACACTAGATATTGAAATACACATCATAAGCTCTGGTTCAAAGAGTATCAATTAGCTTGCTCTTTAACTTGAACTATCTGGTTTAGTGCTGTAATTGGAAAAGGCCAACAGTGGCTTTGAATTATTATTTGTTAAGCTAAGAGGCTCTAGCCAGGAATAGGTCTCTATCATGCTGGTGGAATGTAGAAATCAGTCAGCCTTTGCTTCAGAGACTTGAGCTGAATATACTTGAGCTGAATATACCAAAGTGTTTGATAACCTCAGAAACCTAAAATTCATAATGTTTTTGTGGGTCTTAGTCTACCATATATCGTAATAAGTCATAGGTGCTTATGAAATATGTATCCCAAGGTCTTGCTGTACTGAAACACAGAACTGAGAAAGGTCTACAGAAGAAAAAGCACAGCAAAAAGGAGAAGGAGGAGGAGTAAGTTGGAAGTTAATAAAATACACGCTTAGGAGGCTCTGTATGGCTTAGATCATTATTCTTAACAGTTTCTGAACCAAAAATTTGTATAATCCAAAGAAGGAAATTTGTTCTATACTTTTACTATATATTTCCTGGTATTTTCAAGTTCAGTTTACTGTGTATTGGTGTTTAAAAATGCCAACGCAGAACACCATACTACTTTCTTCCTAAAAGGATATATTGGACTTCAACCCTACTTCAAATGATTGATCTTAAGGATTTCTGCCAAATAGCTTCTGCCAAACAGTAATCAGTTATGAACACCAGATTTAGACAGTGCCTTGTCCTAAACAAACAAGTGCATACACATCCCTAAGCACAGCAAGACTCAATAAGAATGTTTACAAAGTAATTCACAATAAATGTCACAGGTAGTTTGCTTTTCCTTTTGAATGCAGCACCAAAAAACTTTTGAGGAAATATATGCGTGTGCCTGAGCACGCACCCACGTAAAGAGAAAGGAATATACCAGAATTCTAAATTTTGAAAAGTGAATTCTTACCATTTGCAAGAGCAATTAGCAGCAAATACATTTTTTTACTGGAGCTTTTGAATGGGAACCCATTTGACCTCAGTGGGACTAGATGTGTGTTAACTCTTTGCTAGTGGGACTACACATTTGACTACATAAATTTAAACTGTGAAAAAAGAAATCCTTTGCTGGTACACGATCCTCTTCTACCATACTGAGAGGAATGCTTACCTAGAGGACACTAGCATTTCTCATTCTAATTTTCAGATTATAAATTATACAGTACAATTTATAACATTTAAGTGCAACCAGCTATCATTTATTTTTTACATCTCAATTAAACACCAATATTGAAGAAGATTTATGCTTTTTGATAGGAAATGAAGAGAAATAGAACTGCATCTCTGAAAAATGTGAATGTCAAGTCAATTTTCCAGATTGTCTCATACCTTCCAGAGTAGGCTGATTTAGTTTCTCTGGCTGTATCTGCAGGTCAGGCAGAAGCAGAAATATGGAAGAAAACATTTTTCAGAGAAAGTGTGTTTATAACGGTTTTGTGGAGATATTGCAAAATTTGGGAATTAGAGATATTAAGGACCACTTTGTCACTGGAAAGTGAAGGATGTTCTTTTCTCCTTTCTGTCATCTTCTCTTCCCATCCTGATTCCCCATCTTCATGTTGAAGTGAGGCATAACATCAAATTCTCACAGACTCAATACCCCCATGTCTACAACACCCGTCTTTTTCTGCACCAACCTCTAATGTTTAGCAGCTCACTTGTTCTGGACAGAGCACCTTTTAGGGTAAAAGTAATTGTACAGAAATACTTTTAAAACTTGGTGTAAGCTTGAGCCTAAAACCTGACATGCCTTAGGAACAATACATCTACAAGATCACTCTTCTAAAAGACCTTACCTCCACTAACTTAGAAACAGTGGTTTTAAAGGTTTTCAAATGTCCTACATCTTAGGTGTGAAATTGGTAGTGATTCAGCTGGTGTGAATGATTTTATTTGAAAGGACATAGCTTTAAGCTTTCTAATTTTTCACATGCTCTTTGTAAAAATGTTTATATAGAAGATGATGGCCTTTCCATGCTATGCAGTTACAATTGCTTCAACAGATCACTGCACAAGAGAAGTGAACTCCTGCCTAATGAAAGCTGGCCTACTTGGAGTTCCGCCAATGCCCTTTCGTTAAATGTAAAGTTCATAATATTAATCAGGCAACTGCTTATACTGGGGATCAAGTGAACATTTTCTGAAATTAAAGCTGAGTTTTGTTAAAATGTTAGCTTTCCTTGCAAAGTGCATACAGAATGTCTGCTTGCTATCTCCCAGTCTGACAACTAAGTAACAAAGCCCACTGAGTCGGGAGCTTGGTGGGGTTTTACAGTGCCTGCAGCCCCAGCTGAAAGAATATCAGCACAGCAAAGAAACCACAGCGACTCAGCCAAATTTAAATTCAACACACCACAAAAAGCGTTCCTAGGGAATGGCAAGCTATGCCAGTGAAAGCAGGCCACATATTGTAAATTTTGGTGGCAAAGAAAAGGTTTCCATTCAAGCCTCTCTGGGATACTGGCACGGTTTTTGCAATCAGGCTCCGCAGGAAAAAATGGCTGGTTGGTCTGTTTACAGCAGATTTACCAGCCTCCCTTTCTGAAATGTTTAAACAAAGGCTCCTCCACTCTCTGGTGAAAACCCTAATCTGCAGGACGCAGAGGATAGGCTGCTGTCTACTGAACAGCCAAGCTCTACATGACCAAAATTCTGGAAAAAATATTGCTTCTGCTAGTAACAACCTAGCACAGATAAGGATAACCTAAAGAACATTTGCTAAGAAGTCTTATGCCTTGTAGCCTTGCAATCTTCAAAACAGGAAAAGAATTTCCAATCCAAATACTACCCTAGAAGTATAACGATATATATCTTCTTGGTAGAACTGAGGTGCAGAAGAGTAGGAGGCAGGAGTGAGATTCAGAGGTTCATCCAAATACACTTTGCTTTTTTTCTCCTCGGAACATTATCCTCCCAGCATACAGGAGACCTCAGCCAACTATTTTGATTCTCACATCCTGGCTGGTTCAGCTTCAGTTGCTTTTATTCTTCACAATTCTCTTTATTTCTACTTTCTTTCATTCCCTGTGTTTTGTAGGAACAACTGCCTTTTCCTATCTTTTCCTAGTGAGTGACCTTAATCTCTCCCCTAGTCCACACCAATGGAATTAAAATAAATGAATCAGAAGTGAAACAAATTTTCTAGCAATCTGACTGGCTTATTTATGGTCTGTATCCCTTTGCATATTTACACTGCCTGCTGAGATTGTGAAAACTCTTCAGAGCAGGGTCTGGCTTCTGTTTGTTAGAGAACTAAGTTCCTATCTGAGTCTGAAGAATCCTCTCTAATTTGCTGAAGAAAAATGTCTGTGAAAAGTACGTCCCTCAGTGCAAAATAATCAATGTGAAGTTCAGTACATTAGAGTATACTGATAAGCTATCTAAACGCACTTGCCAAATAGGATAACTTGTCTATTGTAAGTCATCCAAAAATATTCTCATGGCTAGGATCCCGGTAAGTATAAACATTCTGATGAAGCAAAATGATTTAGAGTTACAATTAAAAAAACTGAAGTAAGCAAAAAGATACATAGGAAACATAATAATAATCCTATCCCAAAAGATTTTGTTATCCAAGGGGATCTACAATATTAATTAGTAAGTTGTTGCAAACCTATAAAAAATCATCCCATAATTACTCTGAAAAAAAGTTGCAATTTCAAAGCTACACTGCAGAATAGCATACTGGATTAATTATGCCAGACTGCAGCAATAACCTTGAATTAAAGCTGCAACCTTCTATTTTTAAGAAACAATTGCCTTTCTGGTTGATGAAACCTGTCGTCCCATCAGGTAACAGACGTGACCAGGAAAGAGAAAAGCGATAATGAGTCAATCCAAGCTGTTTGATACATTTCAAATCTTCTTCCCACAGAGTGTAGCTGCCACAAGCTACATCACCAGTCTGGTTCTTGAAAACTCGATCTCCTCCCTGATGGGTGAATATGTCCCAGACATTAGGGCCCTTTCCATCTGCATTCTAGCCTTCTGCTTGAAGAACAAAACTTGGTCATTACACTTTTGACATCAAAAGACATATGTTGCATGTAAATATTTATCACAAAGTAGGCACAAACCCCTAAAAATCCCATGGGCAAAATAAGCAGTATTCCCTCCCCACTCCTTACTTTATTTAAAGTAACTAGGAACTTTCAAGCATTGATACATATTTGCATTAGGGTTTGCATTTATTAATATTTTTGCTTGCTGCTAACTATTTGAAAATCCTGTTTTAAAAATCATTCAGAGTTGTAACACTTTTTATGGTTCCTTAGCCAAAAATCAGATGTTTGCCACTCTTAAGATATTGCAGGTTTTCACAAAGGGAATTTTCTAATGTAACTTCCATCCATAAATGTAAAAGATCAGTCCGTATCAAAGAAAGCCTTTAGGGTATGAGAAATACATCCACAAATAGGCACTTATGGCTTTCGGGATGTCCTTTGAAAAGCTTGACAGTTTGCTAAAAAGAAAGAAATGCCATTATGAGCCATGGCCCTAGGCATATACAAGTTGAATTAATAACACAGCTCTGCAAAACTTCTGCTTTTTGTTTAGCCAGACATTCACACAAATGAATTTTGAATGCTCAAAACCACTGCACCATTTTCCCTAAACTTTCAGAGTTTTGGGAAATTTCTTCACAATTCTAAAATTGAAATAGATGTATTACCTTTAAAATATTCAAAATTTAGTTGTTGTCTGACATTTAAAAACATATAGTATTTAATCCAAATAAATGCACCTTTTTTTCATTGCAAGTTTCTTTGTCTTTCCAGAGCAATGCTGTGGATAAGAAAAATATTTCATTTTTTTTATGTGGAGAGCTCTGTGAACTTACTGTTTACTCTGTAAACCCCTGCAAAGTGTGTTTTAATCATAAAATCGCAATTAACCTCAAAATGATCAACCTCATTTACCGCCAAGATTTTTCAGAGTTCCAGTGAATGCATGGTTCCAGATTACTCTTTAAAATCTAAAATGATACTGTGTGTTAAAATTATGTATGAATTAAATATCAGTTGAGTTGTAAGATTAATACCTATATAATAGCTACGTATCAATCTTCAATAAAAGTGTTTTAATAATCAATTAGTATCATAGAAATTAGAGATGGAGGAGAACTATTAGGAGGTCATTGAGTCCATCCCCTGCCAACACAAGATTGCTCCCTTAAGTATATTCAGTACTTAATACACATCTGTCTTATTAAATCTAAGTTTAATGCAAGGTTAAGCATATTGAAGACACTTAATTTAAATCGTTACTAAAATCTGTAATATCATTTCTATATCCTAGCTTTTCAAAGATCATTGTCACATTTCATGATCTTTACAGACTTTTATTGCAGCACACGAGCACTGATACATCTATATTTGGTTGGTCAGTAAATTAAACTTTACATGGGACAACCTTCAAAGTAGGTCACATTTTAGATCCAGACAGTTCAAGTTCCTCTTAATCTCAGAATTTATCACAGACTTTGTGCTCTCTCTGTATGCTCCTTGGAAAAATACAGTACTAAAAGTTTTCTATATCCTGCATCTGACTTCAAACATGACTACTGAAATAAATAGTCATTTGAGAGAAGTGCAGGAAATAACAAATAACAGTAATTCTTTGGTGGTACCTAGAATTTAGAAGCCTCTAAGAGCAGGCTTTTTGCACCATATCAGTATGATACAGCTCTTTTTTTTCACTATTGTTGGAGTTAAGGAAAGCCAAAAGCTGCCATAACGGGCAGCTAACACAGCTTCATTTAAGAACCATCACCTAGAGCAGATGCTCAATGATTTCTTTGTACCTGCCTGCCTTCCTCCAGCAAAGGAGATGGGAGGGAGGGGGAAAGGCATTTGATTTTCAGCAGAGTATACAGTGCTACTCCAGTGGTCATTAGCCACTACAAAGGCCTGACAGGGGCTGTAGCAAACAGACCCACTTTCAAGCATTCCTCATACTGTTCGAAGAACCTCTCTGTACAGCGCTGAGTATCTGAGCTACCTAAATAAAGAGTAGGAAGGAATTCAGCCAAGGCAACAGAAAGCTCTACATACACTAACACATCCTGCTGAGCCTCAATTAGTCTGCACACAGCTCTCTCCGCTTCAGTGAACCAAGCTTACCCCTCTAAGTATGCTCAGAAACCTCCATGCTACACAGCACTTCATAGTGTAGACATAACCAGAGTTTTAGTGTGCATTGGGGCCAGGAAAGAACAGTGAAAAGGAACTGATTTTACATTTAAAACACTTAGGTGAGACTTAGATACCAAATCAGCACATGAAATGAATAATATAAATTAACATGATACATGTTCCCCATTCCCTGCAATTATTACAACACAACAAAATAGAGTGCTTTTCCATTTAAATGCTAGTAAAGCAGGAATATTACTGACCAGAGTGTGTAAGTTTTCATGCACTTTTCAAAGTACACTTCCTTCTAATTCATTTGTACTTTCACCTCTTGGAGTGAAATTTTCTTGGCCTGGTCTCTGACCGAAAAGTGAAATTTTTTTAATGCAGTTTGACTATTTGGCATATGAAAGAAGTGAAGAAAACCACTTTTAACATTACAAGAATTTATTGCAACTTTTCCCTCTCAAAAAAAAAAAAAAAAATCAAGCAGAGAGTTGAAATTTAGCATAGAAATGGCCCTCAGTAAGAAGAAGTGCTTTTGAGTGTTCTGGTGCAAATTGATTTTGATTTGACTGAGTCATGAACCTTTGAAATCTGCACTTTGAGCATGCAGAGTACAATTGGTATGATTTTTTAGCGCTTTGAAATATACAGAGTGGAGAAGGTTGTGCTGTGCATAAATACATAGCTGACAGTAAAAAATAAAGTAGCCTGTCAGCCCTTGCCTCATCTACTGTGTATCTTGTGATATGTGCAGGAACTGAGTTTGGACTCTACGAGAACTATTGCTTCAATCATGCTGCCTCTAAGTCAGAAGCTGAACAGCCTCCAAAGCTTTCAGGAGAAGGAATTCCCTGTTGAGTTTCTTACTTCTGCAAGAAAAGGGTCATTTGAGTAGTGTCTAGACCATATTATAGATTTATTTTTTTTTTTTACGTTTTTCCCACTCAGAAGCCTTAAGAAAGCTCATTAAAAATACATTAAGAGAACATTAAAGTTGCACATCTAGACACTCAAAAGGCAGGAAATTATAATGTCATTCTATATGCACACACAATTCACATTTTAAAAATTAGTTAGTAGAGCTGTGTGAATTGCAGGACTCCAGTTACAATCTGGCCCAGAATATTGATTTCCTGGGAACAGCGAGCTGTGCAGTCTATTAGTGAAGTGAACTGAGCTCGTTAAAAGGTACTGAGCATGGGCAAGTGCTCTCAATTTCAGCAATAACCAAGAACTAAAGGCTACATCCTCAAAGACAATTTAGTATCCACAACTTCCATTTAGGTGCGGAAATCAATGGGATTTAAGTGCCTGCATGCTGCAGGGCACAATATGAGAAAATCAGGCCTATATGTATTTTGAAGATTTCTAAAGACACATTTAGGAAAAGATAAAATTTGGAGGGGTTATGGCTGTGAGTGTCCCTGTGTTTCCATATTTATGTGTTTCCATTCCCTAACCTGCAGCACCTTCTCATATTGAGTTTAACAAATCACTTTATCAGCCCCTCTATTCAGTTGGGAACATGACACATGTCCCTGGGGGATGATCTTCACAGATCCAACTGTTAAACTCTCAGTTAATTGTTTTTCATAATCTTTGGAGATTAATTTCTAACCAAAGATTTCTTGTGAGTACCAATGTCTGATGAGGCAATTCTCCTGTCCAGTCCCAGAATAGCCAATAGTAATCTACCTAAATTAGCTCTACAGAAAGGAAATGTGCAAGAAATAGTTGAAAAATTAATTATATCTGCTTTTTTCTACCCTGCTTTCAATAGCTAGTGAAGGGTTCCTCCTTCATTTCCTTTACCTAGCCACATTTCTGAGATTTGAAACATCCTTTACACTCTTCTTACTGCTCAAGTCAGAAGTGTTTAAATAGAAGTGCTCCATGATTTGCATCAGATGTAGTGTCTACATAACGAGGCAAAGATCAAACACTCTCCTTCCGGGATCCAGACTTTTCATTCACTTGAAACTTCCTTAACACTTTGACAGCTAAAAATTGACACCTTCAATTTGATATGCTGCTGTAGCTTCACCCCAAGCAAATCCAACTGGAAAAGCAATATCCTCTGGCACCAGTTGCAGAGGACAGGTGAATACACAGCAGTATGTGTGCTGTGGAGATGCCATCTTCTTTTGCAGACAACGCTTTCTGGCTTGATCGCTCTTCCACCTGTTACTAGCCAATTCTAAACTGAAGACAAAAATAAACCCTGTGCAGCTTCACACACTGAAGGGTAAGCCATGCACTTTGCGTATCTCAGGATTAAAGCAGAGAGGTTCAGTGAGTTACTAGTGAAAGTGGAAAAGGCAGCAGTGGAAAAGCTCAGGGTGGTCACGGTAAAAGGGCTCCTCCTAGTACAAAGCATTAGTACACAGAACAGAACCCTGTTTCCTTTCACTTCGCTCTCACCTCCCACCTCCCATAAAAAGGACTTTGCGGACCCTCTACTCAACATAATTCCTTTAGTCACCAGGCAAAAAATAATTTCCTCCTCTTCCAGTAAGCTTCAAAATCCAGCAACCCTTCTTCTTTTCTGGCACCAAAATTATTTTTCTTCTCTTTCCCACCACCAAAAAAACTTGCCTGCAGTGGCTGAGAAAGGATGTTTTAGCCATTATGTGTTTCGTAGGGGAAACCAATGAGTAGAAGAGCAAGATTTGTATGGGAGTACAGACAGAAAAGCCATCTTTCTCCTTCTTTAAAACCCCGTGGATGCTCATTTTTTCAGAGCAGCAATGACAACCTTATGGCATGTGTGCCAGAATCAGCATCTGCAAAACAGCCCTCAGGTCTCTTCCTCTACCTTCTGTCAATGCTGTTACTGCTCTCCTGTCAGCAGGCTGAAAAGAGAGCAGCAGCAGGAGGAGAGTCAGGTAACAAGTGAGATGGGTTGAAAGTAGCTTACTGTCCCCTCCCAGAAAACGGCAACACCTGGCACACTAGATGGCACTACTGCAATTTTTTTTTTTTTTTTTTTTACTTACTGGAGCTTTCCTGCATTTATTATACCATTACATTCACACTGGTTTTGCCAAGGTCAGTATCTGCACATATTGGACTGCTAGGCTGTAATGTATGGCCAGTAGTATTTTTTATTCTTTACTCCACTTGCACCTTCTTGATTTTGAAATCTTTCTGGGTGAGGACCTACTTCCGCTAAGCATTTTACATGTAACTGACACTTTCTCTGATAATGAAAAAAATAAACCTTAAGATACACAGAGAAGCCACTGTTTAAGTCAATGCACATACTTTTGCCAGAAATGCACACAATAAAAGAGCCAACTTCTTAGCAAAAAAAATCCTTTGTGCAGATGCAGAAAAGCTGATTTAATTCCAAAATGCACATTGCAGAACCAGACAGTGCAGATGCAATGCAAAATAAATCGGGCTTTCACAGCAGGCAAGTATTTCCTCAAGTGTCTTTCAAAGGAAAGGTAAAAGCACCTTGAATACAAAGGAACAAAGGGGGAAATGAGGTACAACTTACTAACTTATTCCCAAAACACATGCTGACACATGGTCTAGACAAACATACAGATCCCTCACATGTATTATACAGACAACCAAAAACCAATGCAATGAACTAGTTAATGTTTTCTGGTTGAATCACCCTCCTCAGGCTTTCATCTGCAAGGTAAGGACAGTTTACAGTAAAACTCATCAGGGACATCTTAAATCATGACTAATAAGTATTAATGAACCAGAGTAATAATGCTTATTTTTTACATCATTAAATGTTACTAGGCACCTTTGAAAATGGGACATTAAATCTTTTCCCAGAGAATAATACAATTCAATTTCACAATAGATATAATAAACATCTAACTCAATAAGAGGGGGGAGAGGGGCAGAAAGGAGATAGTAGCAATAAAAATCCAATAAAAAGTTTTATAAAAATGCTTAACCATAAAAACAAGGCTAAAAAGTGTCACTGCTGATTCCCTATCAGGAATCAACAGAGACAGAGATGGGCTTTAGGAGAGATTGAGTAGGAGGAAAATATTCCATAAGCAGTCTGGGGAAGAGTGAACAAAATTTGCCTCAGAGGTTAAGGCAGATTCACAGTAATGAGATAGCAGGTTATGTCAGATAAGTAGACAGATACTGAAAGATGCACAGCTTCAAAATTCAGAGAAGCTGCACTTATAGCAACTAAGCTCAAACTTTTCCGGCAACCTAATTTCTACATTTGTGATCCCATTTCTGATTGTATTTCTAAATTCATGAACCTGCTCCTTATTGCAGTAGAGGGGCTTGCAATTATATTTCCATTAGACCCACTGCATGTGATGGCCTCCAGGACGCACCAGCTTTCTGACTATTTTCCCTACATCCAACAAATAACCTGGCCCCAACCTGCATTTCAATATTCATTTCCCATCGTTTTTGTTCAGGACATGTATGTATAAAACTATGAGACCTGTAAGTTCTATCTAGAGTCAATATTTTTCCAGACTAAGTTTAAGGCCTTCACATTTGCAGTGATACAGACTATATGTAACCAAATGAGCTCAAACCAAGTACTCATAATAAAAAACCAAGCAGTTCCTGGGTATCCAAATGTATTTGGACAAAGATTTTTTTTTGGCACTTTGATGAAGAGCAGGAGTAATTGGCTCTGATGCTAAGGGCCGGCAACCTTGCTTTACAAAATTCTAGATATTTTATTAAGGTGAAAGATGAACAGGCTTTGTGTCGGATTATAAGTCATGGGGGTTAATTATTATCAGAGGAATTGCATCTTGAGAAAAGGAGATTTTCCTCACTGAATTGATGTTTCCTAATGATGTATCATAAATATGTTTAATAGTATTTAATACAGAGTTTAGAAATTGAACTTTAAAGGGGTGTTGAAAATTAAAATCTTGTTCCTGAAATTTTATACCGTGCAAGGAACGGCACAAAGATATAGCTTCTTTGGAAGCAAGACTGTATGTCTCTGAAACAACCAAAGATAGAAGTTCATATCTTCTGAGAGTTCTCTTTGTAATTGCTACTCATAAATTTAGCTTCCCTCTCTGGCAACATAATGGAGTTGCTATTGAGAAAACAAATTTACTAAAACACTTTGGAGTCTGCCAGACAAACTTGATTTTTTAATAATAATACAAAATTAATGAATAGAGAGCAGAAGCTATACTGGCATATATCTGAATTTTAGCAGTATACTGTTTTTTTTAGGATATTTTAGCACTGATCCTAAAGTGCTCTCAGTTAAGTTATGGAGACAGTTTCCACCTTCCACCGTGGCTGCAGCAGAGGACTCCTAACTCTGATCCTCTAAATTGAGCCTTAATTAGAAGCCTCTGCTGGATTGTTGATTAGCCTTTCTTCTCCCATCTCCAACGTGTCAAAATTCTGTTCCCAAACTTAAATCAAATTGGAAATGAACTATCATGTTGACTGAAACAAAGGATGATGACAAACTATGAAGGGTAATGATAAACAATAACTTTGAAGGGACACATTTAGTGCAGTACACAAAGATTAGTATTACTTCTGATCTCATTTAATAGCTTCAATAATGAGCTAGAAGAGGGAGTAAATGGTACATTAATGAAATCTGCAGATCTATTAAACTAGGAGGAGCTGAGCACGCTGCTGAAAATGGAGAAATAATTCAAGGGTTCATGGGAAAATTAGAAACACAGGCAGAATATTGCAATGAGATTCCATTTAGAAAACAGATGAATAATATTTGGGTAAAAAATCAACAGATGGTAACAGGTAAAAATCTGGAGAGCTGTAATGCTGGAAGAGATTTAAAATTAAGAACATCAGGAAAACTAGGCAAGAATCTGTAACTGAGCAGTAGATATAAACAGTGAAATTTGGGCAAAACTATTAAAGAAAAAGTAAACAAGTAATGACTCATCTTAAAGCAGCTCTACAACCATCAGTTCTCTTCTGCATATAGCATGGGCACTGGAGAAACAGATTATCAGTCAGATGGTTAGAGACTTTACAGCTATGGATGTTTCTCCTCGAAGAAAATTTAGAAGTAAGCCATCCATATAACAGTGTTGTCCTTCATGAAGTGAATGACATAACAGTGAGCCACTGGCTAAAAGACCATAAAAAAGCCTGAGACTGAAGAAATAAAATATTCTCCCACTGCTTCTGGTAATTGCATCATGCAGCTTGAATATTTTGATATTGCTAAGGAAACTGCCAATGTGATGCCAGCTGCTATAAGCTTTCCAATGTCAGATATATGTATACAATATCTTGGAGAGCTAAAGCTAGTTGTGAGCAAGTTAATTGCAGTGGAGGAGCTCACACAAATTAATCTTGCTGGGAATAATTCTACAGAAACTACAGTGGAGGGTGAAACTAATGTTACATCACTCCCTGTACCAGAGACAATTTTGGCAATTCAGCATGGCAACAGCATTAGGATGTATAGTATGTATGTAAAATGATATTCCATATTGGTCATCAGTCTTCAAAAGTCCTTGGTAGTTCTTGGCTGTGAAGGCAATTGTCCTTTATTGCTGAGTGCCTCCATACAGTATTTTTAAGTGGGCTTGTCCGCTCAGGAGTTTGTCACTGTCAGTATGTTGTGACCCAATAGTGAGTGTGCAGAGAGCAGGGCATTGATCCACAGATTTAAATTTGCACACTTCAGTAGAAAACCTGGCAGAAGCCCTTTCATGTAAAACCATGCTCTATTCATTTATATCTCGGCATGTCCTGCCGTTCCACACTTCTGGAGCATTCATCTTTTAGGGGAATAAGCTTAAAAACAATGAGCCATCATGCAAAAATGTCAGGATAAAAAAAGGAGGATATGTATATATGAAAAACAATACAAAAAGTACCAGAAGCAGAGGTAGACTCCTGGTTCTTTTGAATGCACCCTGTTTGATGAGACAGCACCCTTTCATTGATGTTTCAGGGAGAGCTGTCTACATTTTCTAGAAGTTGGGAGCTTTAGGATGTTTGCAGAGCTACCTACTGGTAAACTTGCTTGATACGATTTTGCCAGGAGAATATCTGCTGTAACTAATCAGATTCACTGCAACAGTTAGACACATCTGAATGATCTTAAACTAAAATTATTAACATTTTTAAAATACAAGGCAAAGTCTTCCACATGTTTGAAAGCAGCATTATTTCCCTA